GATCGATTGAGTGCATTCGATTACGTCCACTCCACTATGGTTTGAATCACTTCAGGATCACTTAAAAATCACATAGGGTCCTTCTCAAACTGAAAGCTGCTTGTAGGCTAGTCAAGTCCTCAGCATTAAATGCTAGAATGAGACGGTCGCAAGTGTCAAGTCAAGTATATTTATACAGCACTTTTCACAATATAGATTGCATCAAAGCAGCTTCACAGCATCAATCAAAAAATAATAATAATGTTCGTTTCTTAGTGGAAAAGAGCTGATCAATCGTATTAATGATTGGTTAATTAATTCGAATATCCCCAACTGGGCAAGCATGTCACACTTCTACCCCCATATTATGAACAGTAGACTTTTTCCTGCAGGATATCTGAATTTACCTCTGGACAGGATGCCATTCTTATACATTTTACTTCTCTGTTATTTTGCAATAACCTAGTGACTATTTTCTTGTAAGATTCACCCCTCCAGTTTCCCACATTTGAAGGAGTAGTTCACTTTTCAAAAAACTTTTGCTAATAATTTACTCATCCCCATGTCATCCAAGAGGTCCATGTCATTGTTTCTTCAGTCGAAAAGAAATCAGTTTTTTGATGAAAACATTACAGCATTTTCCTCCATATAATGGACTTCACTGGGAACCAAACACCTCAAGGTCCAAAAGACACTTTCAGTGTTTGAACAGGAGAGTCAAAAACATGCGTCACAGAACAGAGCAAGGCGAGCATTTGAGCTTATAAAACTTAAACTTTGTTATTTATTTATTAAATGAATGATCGTTTCACTTGATAAGACCCTTATTCATCGTCTAGAATCGTTTAAAGCCCTTTGAACAGTTTGCACTGAAACTGTCTTTTGGACCTTGAACTGTTTGGTTCCCATTGAAGTCCATTATGGAGAAAAATCCTGGAATGTTTTCAACAAAAACCGTAATTTCTTTTCGACTGAAGAAAGAATGACATGGACATTTTGGATGACATGGGAGTGAGTAAATTATCGCAAAACTCCATGGCCTTTCTCTCTAATATTGGAATCCTGCCAATTGATGGTCAGCCCTTTCTCGGTTGCAAGATGTAACATTTTCCAAGGACAATCAATTCTTTCCCAGAGGCAAGATCCCTCCAAGTGACATCTTTTTTTCACTCTTCTTTCCTCCCCTGACTTTACAAAAGCTGCTCAGTGGGACACAAGACTTTCTCAGATGCATCTGACCTTTGCATAATTAATTAGCACAGCTTCATGACACTTCTTCTACAATTGTGTTCTATAGGATGAATAAAACATTCCATCACGTTATCCTGTTTGTTTGTGTCTGACTGGTTGCATGTTATTTAAAGTATATGGGTAATTTTCCTTACCACGCATCTTCTTTGATTAATGTGCAGTTTTATTAATATGGTAACTTTAAGTTCATGTAATTCACAGATATTGCATTAAAGTAGCATACGTGGTCTCCCATCAACTAACAACAAGTATTTTTTTCTCTTGCACTATAATACAATACAGGTAAGAGAAACCAGCTTTTCAATGATGCAATGCTGCGTATTGGAATACGGCAGGGTTTCACTGGCAGGTTGAATTTCATTTGGACCTGAAATCAGGAAAGCCCTGGAGGGTCTTTTTCCTTTCCTTGGAACTGTCGTATTTCACAGAGGGAATCCGAGTATGAGAGCGACACAGAGACTCCAATATAGGACATATAACGAGTTTTAAAATAATTGCTTTTTATATAATTTACTTCAATGATTCCAGGGCAATGACAGTTACATATTTCATGACGGGTCTTTGGACATACCCTCCTCAGCTGCTCACTGGAGGTGAGTAATGAGCTAAACTAACTATAAACTGTAACTGTGCTGATGATGTGGCTGAAGGCCACTGAGCATGTGCAGTAAGTCTGCTCAGGGCCTTCTGCTGCTCATGCATTTACTTCATCTTCCTGTGCTGTCACAGGACAGCCTGTCATCGAGCAGCCAGACCTGAAAGTTTAATGAACACCAATTAAGACTTCACAATCGCTCAAGTGGTTTGGACTACTGCAGTGAAGATAGAGGATAGATGAGATGAGAAAAGGAATGGAGAGGAAAACAGAAAAAGAAGCCAATTATAAAAGATTATATATTATGAAACGTTCAACTATTTATAAGTTATGAACACATGTATTTTAATTAGTGAAATATAATGATCTTCTCCTGGAGTTAATATTATTTAGAATATTATGATAAGATTAACCTTATATTAATATTAATGTTATAATATTTAATAAATTCATTAACGTTGCAGCTCATGTGCTACACCAATATGCCCTATAATATTATCTCCTTTTTTATTAGTGTCATCCTGTGAGCTTTACTTCAATACTGAGTTCAGAGCAGCTCTGACTGGATACTGACTGCTTGCCCACATGAAACATTGACACACATGCATTTCATCTAGAGCTCTTTGCTGTCTGCCCTTTCATATCTTTTCTGGTGGGAACCCTGTAAAGCAGCCAAGCCCCCTTTAACTCTCTCTCTATCTCTTCTATGAAAGCAGCACTGGTGTGCGTAGGCCTCTATGGTATACAGATCTTATACTTCCCCACTGGAATAAGCTTGAAATGCACACTCAATTTGAGCACAGACATAATAAGCAGATAGGAAAACCTGTGGTCTAACAATCAGTGAAAATATGTAGCCTATTGCTCCAACTGACAGAGACTCAGTCAAGCATCATAGAGGAGTTGGATACAACAACAAATACGTATAACTGCAATGCATGTATTAACATAGGCTACCCAGTCTGTGGGCAACACACAATTTACATATACAACACAATCTAAATAACCCTATAGATCTTATTGTCTTCTAAGCAATATGACATGTTTTATTGTCATAGTGCACCATGACATTTTTATGATATTGCATAAGGATTCAAAGATGTAAACTGAAGACCATTGATTTTTAACAGAAATATCCAGCAGGGGACTTTGCTTGTTCTGTTGTTGGAAGCGACGTGATGTTATTTTAGTGCTCCTCCACTAAACACAAACCAAGCATTTCCTTCGTTTATCACAATAGGGCTATTTAATGTACATGAAATCAAATCTTGAAATGGTGGGTACTTCAGCTGTAATCTAATTATACATTACGTCTTCATATTTGTAATAACAAGTGAGCTTGGAAATGCAGTAAGCTTGTGCTTCTCTCGTTTTAGACCAAGCTGATCAGACAGTAGGCTAACCACTTGTCTGTCTCAGAGTCAGACAACTTTATATTTTTGACCAATTAATATGAAACACCCAGAGAATCTTGCTCAATAAGTGGCTGCCTCCAAAAACACATCCTCTCTATAAACTGGCAAAAGTATTGGAGTACCCCTCCAAATCATTGAATTCCAATCACAGGTGTTGCAATCACTTTCATGGCCACAGTTGTAATCAAGAACCTAGCCATGTAGACATGCTTCTACAAACATTTGTGAAAGAATGGTTCGCTCTCGGGAGCTCAGTGAATTCAAGCTTACCGATTGCAATAAGTCCAGAAATTTCCATGGTCAACCGATCGAAGTGGGGGTCGCGTACCGGACAAGAAGTGAAGCGCCACGTCACGTCTGCTGCGCGTTGGCCCAGCAATAACAGGACCTTGTTCAAAACCCTGCTGCGCCAGGAATTGTATTAAATAAAAATATATTAAATTTACATTATTTGTTTGACAAAAACAATGACACCTTGACTGAATGTTTCCCGGATAATTAGCATCAGTTTTTCATGAGTTTCTGTAACTTAGCCAACAGTTTTACAGCCTGTTCATTGACATCACCTGCTCAAAACAAGTAGTTTAGGCCTAATCATATTTTCATTATCACACGATGACTGACATACCGGTATTTTTTCACATCTTAAACACCTCTCTCTCTCCAAATAGGCTTAATAATTTTATTAGCAAATAAATGAAAGTTTATTGCATAGTTGATGTTATAGATCACTTTTAAAATCATGTCATATTTTATAATTATATCCTGGCCATGGATGCATTAATCATTTTGCATCTGTCTTTCAAAGATGTCAGGTAAAAAGCAATTAGCCTATGCATCCTCTCATTCGCCCTGAGAAAAGCCCCCTAAAAAGGCCAGTTTAGGGGATAATTTGCTGATCTTTTTTGGCAAAAAAATAAATTTAAAAATAAAATAAAATCGTAGAATACAGTATGTGACTGATGCTTAATCTATATATGCAAATATATATATATATATTAGAAAGCCAAATACAGTTTCTGTGACTGATTCTGAATATATAAAGCAAAGGGAAAAATAGAATGGAAATGCAAATACATTGTTGGATGATTATAAACATGGTACTTTGCCTGTTTATGCCTGCAGTGCAGTAGCCTACAGAAAATATGACAACAATAAGATCTAAATGTAACTGGCCCTTTAAACACTACATGCAAAATAAATCAAACCAAAATGAATGTGAAGATGGTGACTGGAATTGTGTGTGTGTGTGTGTGTAAGTGTGCAAACATTGCTATGTGATTTGCTACTTAAAATTTCAGGGTACATTGATTGTGTTCCATTAGTAACCACTGTGATAGAACAATATTGCCCTCTGCTGGTAAATGTGATTTTTTTTGAGGGGTTATTTTTTAACTTTGCCTCTGTAGAAACTAATATAACAATCTTTGATGGAAAAAAAAAATTCATGGAGATAATGATTAAAGGCCGGCCAACAAACATTTCAAAAGGTTTGTAAGCCACTTTGTATTATTAATTCCACCTGAATCATTTGTGTGATTCAGATTAAGTTTGCTAATAAATTATTTAATTTGTGCATTAATCTATTTATTACATTTTTATTTCTACTTGTTCACTATAAGTATTAACTTTCTTAATTAGAATTCAGTAAAACACAAATGCACACGGACAAGCAGCAAATAAGCTAAACAGTCTTCAAAACACAACATACACACCACAGCTTTAACTTCACACCAGGATAATTAGAAAAAGGTGAAACATTTTGGTTATAAGGCATAATTTTATATCAAATGCCAATAAATAAATTATTCAGCTCATGGTAAGAAAGGGGTACATTTTCTTAAAGATACTAGTCGAGAGTACACATCAAATTACGAATTTAGAGCAATCTAAATTTTAGATAAGAGTTTGATCATTTTACGACTAACACAAATGTCTCAATCTCAAGTCTCAAGATGCAATGTTTGTAGGAGTGTTTTCCAAACCTGAGCTTTGTCTCTGAAGATAGACTCCAGACAAGGATTAACCATTTCTATTTTTCCTGTGTATTTACAGAAACTGAAGTCATAGTGGAGAGAAAGTTAGACTTCATGAATATAGTGGTCATGAATTAAAGTGGTGGCTGTAGTTTTAGCAGTGGTGGTGTTTGAATAGCAGTGAAGGACTCTGAGCTTGTTGGTGTAATTAAAGAGCACTTAAAGACTCTCCTGAAAGCAGTGCTTGGATATTCAAGTGCTTTGTGGTATTTGGCAGATTATCAGTAGCAGAGGAAAGGTGCTCACAGAGACGTTAAGAGTGATTCACCTCTGCAGTCAGAGAAGGCAGATAATGAGATAATACTATGGCAGTGCTGAATGTTGAGTAACGTGCTCTGATATTAGATATAGCTAGAATAAAAGCCTATTAATATGAGTGAGAGTGATATTGGTTTCAGACACCAGGGTGTGCGCTGAGACGACAGAGAGCGTCTCCGACAATGTCCAGCTCGTGTCTGAGCTCTTCGACCACATCGTTGATGCTGGGCATGTCCTTCAGCACACATACGCTCTGTGTGTACGGGTTATAACGCAGGGAGAATGGACGCTGGATTGTCTTTGCAAACTCACTGTGAAGGATAAAATGTATAGTTAAAACTAAATAATAATGAGGTAGAAATATAACAGGTCACATATACAAAAAAACAAAAAAACAAAAAAAAAAATAGATTTACCGCATTCTAAATTTAGCTTCCTCAAAGCTCTCTGAAACAAAGTAAACATCTTGAAAGGTGGTGATGAGACACTCCTGCTTACAGGTGACCTTGGGCTCAAAGGGAAGGATTTTAGCAGCGCCTGAGAGAGAGTGCTTTAAAATAAAACATGCGTTTCAGATGACACAGTAATGTTACAGTTTATAATATTACAAAATATTTCTATTTCAAATAAATGCTGTTCTTTTGATCTTCCATTCATCAACAAAATCCTGATTTCTGTTTTGTGCGATAATAAAAATAATGTTTCTTAAAAATCAGCATATTAGAATGATTTCTGAAGGATCATGATATACTGAAAACTGGAGTAATGATGAAAAATAAAAAAAGTACAAAAATATTAAAACAGAAAACAGTTATTTTAAATTGTAATAATACTTCATTTTTACAGTATTTTTGAAACAGTAGCCTTGGTGAGTAGAAGAGACTTTGATTCATATTTATTGTTCAAATTATTAGATTAAACATAAAAAGATAATTGTTCTAATCTTTAATTCTAAAACCGACAATGCGCATCTAGTGTACCTTAAGTTCGCTGATGGACGAGAGAAGTCCAGCACCGTATGCTCTGAGTGAACCCTCCTGCTTGCACAGGCCAAACTCTACCGTGAAGAAATAGCACTGCAATGGCACACACACCAACATAACAACAATCAAAACTACTGCAAACAATATTAAGGCTTTATATGCACACCAGGACAGCAAAATGTACTGAAATATATACAGTTGCTAATTTCTGCACAGCATCATCAGACGCCCCGAGAGAAGCCAGTCCTAATTCCTGAGAGAACTGTGCAAAACTTGGTTCCGCCAACAGAGGAACATGACCCAGCAGCTCATGACATGTGTCCCTGAAAGACATAGACATGAAGATCTCTTTAATTTATTCATTTATTTGTATGTGCCTATTTCACATGACGCATTCAAACGTGAAGTGAAGCAGGAGCCAGCTATTAAATGTGGTTGAGAGTTATTGTTTCATCACTGAGATAACATTGAAACAATGAAAAATGGTTGTAAAAGGGTTAACAAAATCAATGATGAAATTTGAACAAGATCCGTATGAAAAGTTAGACACTAAAACAATGCTCCAATATATTGACATTGATTTGATATTCAAAATTTAAAAACAAAATTTAACAGGGATGATTCATGGCGTTGACACGAAACGGAGCCCAAAGTACAACATTTAAGAAAATATACATATAAACATTAGTTTGATTTATTGAATAAAAGGTGCTGTGTTTGTTTCCATTCCTGCACGTGTAACTTGTTCATGCATCAAGTTTGACAGACAATGTGTTGCTTCAACAATGGGTGCTGCTTCATAAAAGCTTATTTCAAAAGATTGTGCCGATAAATTGGCCTGAAGAGATAAAGGGACATTTGCTCTGTACTCACGGTTCAGGAGTGTAGAGAGGATCTGAGCTGTGACGCACATATTGTGTACAGTGAAACACTCTGAAGGCCAGACCAGCCAGAAAGTCTCTCGGTGACAAGTACCCAGCAACAGGACGAATGGTGAAGCCAGTTCGCTCTGAAACACACATACACAGACAGTATACATACACATCTGCTGTCCCCTGCTGGTGACACAACTAATATTTCTCTTCCGTTCCTCTTTTATCTATTGTAAGGTTAAAATGTATCTTAAAGGGGTGGTAAAACACATTTTTTCAAAGGCTTGATTGTGTTTGTGGGGTGCACTGTAACATGTGTTCATGCTTCGTTTTGAAAAAAAAGTCATTATTTTTCATATATTTTACCTTTATTCTACACTGCTCTGTCCCTCTTTGTAAAAACGGGTTCTATGAAGCCAGTCCCTCAAAAATACGCAATGGGCTTTGTGATTTGCTCAGATCTCTCTATATGGCTCTGGATTCGCTAACTGCCTGGTGCATGTTTTTCTTTACTGGTAGTTTGTGTATTATAAACAATGGCGTCAATAAAACCATTCCAATTGGACCCTGAATCGAACCCAGAGAATTCTAGTGAAGATTATCGAGCAGAACCTGTTCGAGAACGGCTTTTAAACAACGTTTCAGAATAGTTTGTTTTTTGTTGTTCTCATACTTTTTAGATACGCTGTTATGACTGACTATATGGCACCAATAACTGTCGCCAGAACTAACTATTAATTATCAAAACGTCTAATAACTATTAGGGATGGGCAACGATTAATCGAGATTAATCGCATCCAAAATAAAAGATTGTGTTTACATAATATATGTGTGTGTGTATAATTCATTTGTATATATAAATACCCACACATGCATGTATATATTTAAGAAAAATGTGTTATTAATATATCAAATATTTATATTTCTATATAATATTAATTGTGAACAAATATATATATAATATATACATGCATGTGTGGGTATTTATATATACAAATTAATTATATACACTACACACACACATATATTATGTAAACACAAATTTTTATTTTTGGATGCGATTAATTGCGATTAATCGTTGCCCATCCCTAATAACTCTTCACTAAACATTGGCTTTACCACAGTAGCCAAATCAAACACGGAACCATGTTTAGCATGCCAGTAGATATACAGAAAAGCTCTAACGTTAATCAAAGAATAATTTACACTAATTCCAAGTTCGCTGTTGAGATTTTATGAAAAAAGCTTGTAACATTAGGTTTTAGTCAGATAACGTTAAGTATGAATGAGCATTTAACAAACTGGTTTGCAGAGCCAAACAACTTTAAAAAACTGTGTGTGTACAGATCATGTGTGGTCCTTCTCACCTCTCAGGAAGTGGGACACGTCCTCCAGCTGTGGTATGTTGTCCTCTCTGTAGCCGCAGTACTGGGTGAGCAGAGGCAGGTTGTGGAGGTACTCTTTACAGGCATGTGTAGGGTACAGCTTATTGAGCTCCCGAAACACTACACCCCACGTCTTCACCTCTTCCTCTGTGAACTCCACGCGTGGTATGGGATCTCCACTGCAGAGGGAGAGAGAAATATGTCAATATTAAGGATATATAAATATTTATAAAGTTATATAGTAATCCAGTTATTGTTAAAACCTTATTAGACGTACTGTTTGTAACTCATGGCAAGATCAGCAAAATATTTCCTTCTCTTCCGATAAACGTTGTCTTTGAATCCCTGAAATCATATAAGAGCAAAAATGGTTTTCATACACAGTCACAACTCAAATACTGAAGACATGATCAGTATGACATAAGCACTACTAATTATAATTAACCATTGAATTTCTGAAGCAGACAATACCAACCGGATGATCCGCATCCAAATCTGAACCGTACATTAGAACACGACAGGCACTCTTATCCAGATCTGAGATCTTCTTAGGGAACCAAGGCACTTCAGCAAGATCTGAATTCAAGAATTTCAAGATGAAGAAAATTCATTTTCACAATGTTGCAATCTTTTTTTCTTTTTCTTTTTTACAACTCTCTGTGGAGTAAAACACAGTACCATTTACAGGCGTCCAGAACTTGTCAGGTGAGTCCATGGCTATAATGCTTGTTTGTTTGCGCAGCAGCTGAACAATGTCTTTCAGAGTTTCTCGATCACTGTCACAATCCACTAGTACTTCCAACTCCGAGTTACGCCGTCGGGACTTGCGGGACTCAATATGCAAAAGATTTACCTGGTTGTCCTGTTTATAACAAATGAAAATAAATAATTTAGCCCAATTATATTTATCAAATTTACTGTTTGAATAATAATGAGAATTCATATATTTGGAGATCTACTAGATTTATAATGTGTGATAACTGCAGTGACAAGGTACTTATACATATATCACCAGCATTTCTTCATTCATGGTTTGACAATTATTGTAAATAAAACAGTTTGTAGCTGGAATTGCTAAACAAATTAGTTATTTAACCACTTACCTTTTAAAAAGTGCCAGCTATGTATAACATGGTTCTACTAAAGCTAAGAAATACCAAAAAATTATATATAGAGAGTATAGAAAACATTTATACCTGAAATAATTTTAAAGCCTTCACAAGCCCTCCAACTTCATTCTTCAGAGAGAAGACAATCGCGGCATGTTCCCTCTTGGAGGAAAGTGTCTTGTCTTTGCTCTCGTCTTTCTTATGAAAAGTAGTTTTGTTCAGCTTAGTGAGAGAGAGAGAGACAGAGAGAGATAGATAGAGAGAGAGAGAGAGAGAGAGAGAGAGAGAGAGAGAGAGAGAGAGAGAGAGAGAGAGAGAGAGATTATATTCAGTACTCAGTTGTTTCTTCACATTACCATGACAATCTCTCTACTATAGTCCATAACGTGTAATATCCTGCGCGAGTGAACGTATGTTTGCTTGACCTGCGTTTCAAATAGGAAATCGTTATTCAAAGGCAAATAACATGTAAATAACATTATTGTCAACAGGTTGGGTAGGAGTAGGATCCATAGTGCAAATAAATACTAACATGACCAGCACTAAGTGGTGGACAGCGACTTTAAATTTAACAGCCAATGATATCAACAAATCTTCTTTTTTTCCTGTTATATTAACAAAATCCTACAATACATAGGCCTAGTTCAGAAGTTCATGCGAATTAAGGCTATTTTTCAAATATATATATATATTTAAATTATTCAAATGTAGCTACATTAATGATGTGTTAACCACAAAATATGTTTAATATTGTATTATGAATGAAAGTTATATGCAAATAGTTTAATTAACAATTAATGATTGCATATATTGTAACTCGTCAAGTTCTAGTAAAGCAATACAAGTAGGCTATACATCCGTATTCAAACATGTTTATGCATTTTGAGTAGGCCTACACGAAAGAAGTTGCTCTTACCTCATTGTTGAGTTGCTTCTCTTCGTTACTCTTATTGATGGAGTCAAAAGACCGTCCTCGACGCGGTCCGTCAAGCTTGTTGGCGAGCATGGATAGTTACTCTTGGTTTTATAGTAGAATATGGAGAGGTGCGTGGATCACAGAATGCTGCTGTCAGTCTGGTAATGATGTTTTCTCTTTGCATTTATAAAGAGATCCGTCGGATGAGGGGGAGGAGCGCGACCCCGACCAGCCCGACCAGAACATTTTAGATTTTGAAAATAGCTAGGTTCAATAAGTGATTTGAACGTTATCATTATGAAACAATTAAAAATGGATAGCCTATAATAATAATAATAATAATGTTATTGATATAATCGCAAAATGGGAGAACGGTGTTCACATTTTCTTTGTTTACCCCGGTGAATTGGTATGTTTTGTCCAGTAGCCTACTTTTGTCAGTCACATACTTTAACGTTACCTGTCTGAATGTAACCAAGTTTGCTTTTATTGTGTTGAATTTTTTTTCCCCAACATCTACTTCAATAATGATGTTAGAAATGTATTAATGTAGCCTAATGTAAGGTTGATTTGAACTAAATGTTCAAAATTCCTTTTGATTCAAAACCTTAAATCTAATGTGATATCTAATTGCTAAATAGCCCCAGTGTGAAGAGTCAGATCATAATAGACATGTAGGCTATTCACAATGTTAATTAATTTATTATTTTGATATTTAATACTGAATCACAACAGTATCATATAATGTAAATAGAATATGCCACATTAAACACCAGCCTTTTAGTAGAAGGAAAGAGTTGACAAACGTGAGAACAAAAAGGTATGGAAATAATAATAATTAATAAAAATAGAAAATCGAGTATCATAATGATCTCTGCTTATATGTTTCAGCACTATTGCCAAATGAACAGCTCTGACAATGCATTAAAAGATTCACCTTGGCATTTAAACACACCCAAGGTTTCATTTGGTGCATATAGTTGATTTATTTACTCTTTCCAAGGTTGGGCTAGGATCAGTGAACGTTTTATTCACGCCTCTGTGGAAAGATTAGTGATGAAAGTGATGTGGATAATGGTCTAATAAGACACGGCAGCAGGTCTAGATTAACTGGTGACGACTGATTCGGAATGTGCTTGTCACTGGATCCTGTTGTCTCCCAACCAAGCTAAAGGCACCATCCACACCATAGTTCCAGTCCGGGGGTGATTTTTTCCAATGGGAGAACCATGGAAAATAATAAAAGCACGTCAATGAGCGTGGCTCGGATTAATAATGATATGGTAGTTATGAGCAATGGCTGTTTACAAGCTCACACCAGCATTAATTAGCTCAAAACACAATATAATTAGGTACTGCTGTACGTCCATTTCCAAACAACATGACTAATCTTTTATTCAGACATTCTCACGCTACTTCTGTGCTTTATTGGTCCATTGTCTGTGTCTCCCACTGCTTGGTCATTGATCTGAAAGACCTCCATACCCCTATTCAGGGGGACAGACAGTCTTTTGTATGGCAGTCCATAAGTACACATCTCATTAGGCTTCATGAAGTGAGAGATTCACCATCTATTGAAACACAGCCAGTTTATACCATTTCCAACAGCTTGGTGAGATTTTTTTTAGTTTTTTGCACTATTTAGTTTATAAAAATAATTTAAAAAAAAAAACAATTTTCCATATCATAAAAATGTTGAAA